TTTTGTTTTTAAGTACAGGGACGTAAATATGCATAATATTATATTTTCAATTTGATGTTTGAACATTGTATTTTAAAGCTGCTATCCACAACACTTAAAAGCTTGGAATCTCAAACTAATAGATCTAACTTGTCAAGATTGTTGACTTCACCATTCAGAGTTACTTGGACAAAATATTTGCCGCACATGTTACCAGGTTAACCATAGAACAGAGGGCATGAACTAGCAGAGATAGAACAGCCCAAATCCCATGCAGAACCAGCATTCTTTTCCAAAGTATCACCAGCTGCAGCTTTAGAAAAGATATCTCATCCATATATACAGTAAAGAACAAAAGAAAATAAATAATGTTTTTAAAAAATATCTTTACTATTGCTCTACCAAATTTCTAATTTTTAGTGTCAAATGAAATAATGGTCCAAATACATTTACTTATGGACAGTACCTGCAGTGTTGAACAGCTCATCGATGACATTCTCACTTGTGAGTCAGACCATACTTGAATATTAATCTCGGATTACACATCAATGCAGTACCAAGCAAATGTTGCACTGTCAGAAGTACTGTCTTTGGGTGATACATAACAGTCCCTAGCTACTTGGGCAGGTGGATGTAAAAGATCCCAAATTACTATCTAAAGGAGAGAAGGGAGCAGTCTTAGTGTCCTGGTCAATACTTAAACGGAACATACAAACTTGTGTATACCATTCTACCAATCAAGCCTGCTCCGTCATTCAATATAGTTATGGCTGATCAGTAACTTATGTTCTTCTTATCCCACTCTATCTCCACATCCTTTAATGTCATTGGTGTTTAGAAATCTTTAAGATATCTGCATTAACAATGCTCAATGACTGAGCTTCCACAGTCTTCTAGGATGAGGAATGTGTGAAATTGTGTCCATGGTTCTGAGCTTCCCACTCAGGGGAAACGTTTTTCAGTCACAAAGATCAGAACAGAGATAGCTGATCATTTGAGGCACATGGGATGTTCCTGTGATCAATGTAGCCACCATGTTTACATGAATATAGGTGGATGGTTGGTTGTGTCACTGGAGGGGCTCAGATATGAAGAAAAATTGGACAGTCTCTAGTTGCTTTTCCTTGGAGCAATGAAGGTTGAGAGGGCACCTGATCGAGGTATATAAAATTATATTAGGGTGATAGATAGCGTGATAGGAAAGCACTGTTTCTATGAGTAGAGAGATCAAAAACCAAGGGGTATAGATTTGAGGCGACAGGTAGAAGATAAAGATGAGAATTTGTTTCACTCAGAGTGGTGGGAGTATGAAACTCCTTAGCTGAAAGGTGAAAAACTCAGAAACTCTCAAGTCATTTAAGCAATATTTAAGATACTCATTGGAATTATGATAGCCTTCAGAGCTATGGGCCCATTAGCTGGAAAATGCATTTAGTGTGGTCAAATCTTTGCTGACCAGCATGGACATGATGGGCCAAATTGTCTCCTTTTGTCTGGAAACATGCAACAAAATATCATGGTGTTGCTGGATAAGCTAACGATGCAAATGCAAGTTCTATGTTTGCTACTATTGGCGAAACTATCATTCAGTTAGAAAGCTGCTTAGTGTCCCCTGATGTGAGGACTTAAATACCTACCTTGACTTTAAATGGGTTCAAATAAAAATTTACATTTATTCAGATTTGCAATGGAATATCTTTTTCCACTGAAGGGAGGAACGTACATTTATGTGGTGTGTTTTCTCACCTCAGAATTTTCAAAATCACTTCATAACTAAGAAGGCACTTTAAGACTGTCGTCATAGTTTTAATGTGGGTGAAAACGAAATATCTTTTCATCAACAAATCTCCCAAAACAGCAGTTAACAAATCGCTAAATTGAGTTTTCTTGCCATTACTTAAGAATGATGAAATGTTGGTCAGGGCACCAAGAGAACTCTGTGCTCTTTTTCAAATAATAGGATTTTCAATATATTACTGAACTATAACCTTTGTTTAACATCTTATTACGAAGTCTCTCTCTTCCAAACTGTAACACTCCATCAGCATTCCTCCCTTCTAATTCAAGTGCTCAAGCAATCCTGTGATGGCCAACCAGCAATTTTTGAATCTAGAACTGAAAGGATTGCCAACTGAGACAAGAGCAAGATGTTCACACTGATAACACAGTGTGCAGCTGGAGGAACACAGCAGGCCAGGCAGCATCAGAGGACCAGGAAAGTTGACATTTTGGGTCAGGACCCTTCTTCAGAAAAAGGTTCCCTGAAGAAGGGTCCCA